GGCCGTGGAGGACCAGTCGCCTGGCCTCCACGATCCCCTCACCTAAATCCAGATTTCTTTGTGTGGGATTTCTAAAAGAAAAAGTGTACCAGACCCCCGTAACCACAAGAGATATGCTAATAGACAGAATCAGGAATGCATGTGATGAAATAAGACCTTATTTGAATAATGCTATACCACGTTCGATCATTCGTAGATGTGAATTGTGTATTGAACAATTGGGTTTACATTTCGAGCAACTACTTTGTATGTTTGTCCTAACTATTCAATAGCATTTTAGTTGTAAATAATTAATTTAATTTGTTAAAAATAATATTGGACAATTAAACAAATTAATATTCTGTTTTTTTGTTTTTATTTGGAGTTAGGAATTATTGATGTGTTTAAAAACACAATCTAAACGATCATCTTAATTACTTCGAATGCCCAAATCAAAAATGTAAAAAAATATTATTTTCCCATAAATAATTAAAAATGCATCGAACCTTAAAAATCGAAATATCTCAAAAACGGCTAACTATAACGAAAACTCACAAGAGAGCTTTTTATGTTGAAAAGTGCGAAGAATCAGTTTTTTTATTCAAAAAGCAAAAAATTGCACTAAGAAAAATTTTTCGGTCATTTTAATACACTACAGTTACAGTAGAGAGCGCCCTCTAGCGGCTACAGTAAAACTATGCTCATGGTTCGTTTTGTCGTGCCAAAAAACCCTTGTATACCAATTTTCACTATTATACAACAAATATTGTTCGAAATATTTAAAAAGAACTATTTTAGAAAGTAAATTTAAACACCCTGTATTTCGGAGACCACGCATTTTTCGACCCATGTTTATATAGACTTTATGCATTAATTTTAAAAGTTCTATCGAATCTCAAAGTTATGCAACAATAAACTGAAACACCCTGTATAAGTAAATGGTCAATCATCTACAACTAATATATGTACGTATATATCACAAATAAGCTTATCTACGACCAGGAAAAAAAATGTATTTAAGAAATTTGTAGGTCTGAGTGTTTATATTCTCTTTTGCAGTAAAGTAGCTGTAGCGCACGCCAGTTATAAATTATTGTTGAATACAAGATTACTGTCCGTTCTTTTCCGTTGCTAGGTAAAACGACGCATCTGCCTTGCATAATCCGCGATATTGGAATGTACAACTGCTACTTTTTGGCTAAAATATTATACTCACGTATCAGTTGCGAGACCTTTGAAACTTATCGTATATACACTGTTGTAAAAGATACGCATCGTAGTTATAAACCTTTAATCAAATAAAAACAGTTTCAGTATAAATGTACCTATAATATATACAGGGTTATCCAAATTAAGTGTCCACCATTGGTAACTTTGTTATTAGTAAAAATACAAAGTTGTTTAAATTAGCAAACTAGTAGCATTTTTAACGCTGGTAAAAATGAGAAATAAAAAAAACAATTGAGAGTCGTTATTTTGATTTTTTTCAGTAAAATAACATTTTTTTAAATGGAAACCCCAGTATATTATATTTTTTTCTGTTAAAGCATCAAATTTTAAACAAAAAAGTTCATAATGACTTTTCCGCTAAAGTCAAAAATAAAGTCAAAATAACGATAAATATTTTTAATTATTTGCAGTATTATAATATTAAGACGGCTATGAAAACAACATGGCGTTCGCGATTTGACAGCATTAAGATAAGCGACAAATTGTTAAACTGGACATACTCGCAACTAGAAGGCTTTGGAAAACAATGATAAAATCAAATAATGTCAAACATTAGTGTAAATACTTGTTTATAAGCTTTATTGTGTCATTAATTTAAAGAAAAATGTTCTCCCATGAAGAAAAGTGTGATATGTTAGAATGCTATTTAGTGTGCAGAAAATCCTCCTTGAGAGCAAGAGAATACTACAGTGAATTATATCCCGCTCGCATTCAACCGTATGAACGATATTTTCTGAGACTTTATCGAAAATTTAGGGGCAACGAAAATGTTTTTGCTAAAACAAGGGCAAAAAAAGAATTCATAATAAGCGAGGCCACGGAAATTGCAGTTATTGGATATTTTGAAGCTTATCGTGAGAATTCAATAGCAGATATTCTCAAGGACTCTAATTTCAGTTATGGTACTGTTCAAAGGATTTTAAAAAAATACAAATTTATTCCGTATAAATACCGACCAGTTCAAACGCTTTTGGCAGGGGATCCAGAGAGAAGACTTGTTTTTTGCCATTGGTATCTTAGCTTCTGTCGCCAAAATGTAAATAAGTTTCGTTACCTTTTATGGACAGATGAATCAAATTTTTCAAATTCTGGAATGTTTAATAGAAAAAACCACCATTATTGGTCAAGAGAAAATCTTTTGTTAGTACATCCAAGAGGCCCACAAGTCCGTTTCAGTTTCAACGTTTGGTGCGGTATAATTGGTTCAAAAATTGTTGGCCCGTTCTTTTATGAGGGAACCCTAACTGGTGAAAGATATGTGGAATTTATGTCAGAAATTCTGACTAATTTCTTAGACGAATTGGATCTTATAAGTAGACATCATCTGCATTTTCAGCAAGATGGCGCACCTGCCCACAACTCCAGAGGTACTTATCATTTTCTAAGTACTACTTTTAATGATCAGTGGATAGGAACAAATGGCCCAATACAGTGGCCTCCCAGATCACCAGATCTAAACCCACTTGATTACTTCTTGTGGGGTTACTTAAAGAACCAAATTTACAAGCGAAGGTACGATAACCTTGACGCGTTAAAGACTGCAGTTAGGGAAAAGATAACCCAGATAGATGGTAGGACCATACTTAAGACAGTTCGAGCAGTTGAAAAACGTGCCCAAAAATGTATTGAAGAACAAGGTGGTGTTTTCGAGCATCTTCTTTAAAAAAAATTGTTATTGTATTTTGTAAGATTATAAGTTGAAAATAAAGTTTGTCGATACAATTTAATTGTTTCAGATTGGAGGCCATAACTTCAACAATTTGTAACCTAGGAGAAAAGTTATTGTAAGCTTTTTTGTATAAAATTTGATGCTTTAACAGAAAAAAATATAATATACAGGGGTTTCCATTTAAAAAAATGTTATTTTTCTGAAAAAAATCAAAATAACGACTCTCAATTGTTTTTTTTTATTTCTCATTTTTACCAGCGTTAAAAATGCTACTAGTTTGCTAATTCAAACAACTTTGTATTTTCACTAATAACAAAGTTACTAATTTGGATAACCCTGTATATAAGATGCAAAACTAAAAATTTAAATAGTTTTCATGTATATCAGCTCCTATGCTTGCATGCGATTTTGAATTTGCTTTTAGTGTGAATTAAATTGGCAGCATCGAACCCCAACAAAAATAAATAAAAAAATTAATTAAGCTGATAGTACCGGCTTACTTATAAATAGTAAAAAAAGTGGATGAGAGGTATTGCAAAAACAAAAACCTTCAAATGTAAAATACAACTCAAATATATACGTATGATGTAGGTATCTATATAAAATACAAAATAAATAATACTACTAAACTACTGGTTACTTTGTACATGTTGAGTTGGTATGTTTGTACTTTCTCGTACTGGCATACCACGAGGAATTCTGCAGCCTGCAGTTCGGGCAAAATATACTCTTTATAAAAATACCCTAACTTGGGCACCATCGTCTCACGCCACAGCTTATCGCCCTTATACAGGGTGTTCCATAATTATTGCGACAAAATGATAGGGCTTGTAGAGGGCATAAAAATATGCAATTTTGCTTTATAAACCCCTGTTCGTAAATATGCCGTTTGAGCACTACCGCTAATTTTACCTTAAGAGCTCATAGGAGAAACAAAAAATTCACCAGCTGCAAAATGTTCGTCTAGCACATTTCATGGTCTCGCCAGTTTGTAAAAAAAAGCCTGCTGTGTTTACATTTTTGTTATCGTAAATTCTCCACACCGATTCATTTAATTTATCCGAGTGGTGCGTCAAACTAGATAGTAAATAACAGTACCTTAGTGTTAAAATGCAGCGTTATTCGTATGCGGAACTTGCGGATATGCATTTAATTTACGGAGAAGTTGGTGGTTACAGAAGACGAGCCTCGCGAATCTAGGCCCAACGGTTTCCAGAACGTCCTCATCCGCATCACGCCATTTTTGCAAGGATTCATGGACGTCTTCGTGTCAGTGGTAGCATCAGACACCTCGCGGGAGCATGGCGGCCCTTCACGAGGCGCACAGTAGAATTTGAGGAAGCGATTCTGCATCATGTAGAGGCCAATCCGCGTACAAGCGTGCGTGCTATTGCACATGACATGGGAGCGTCTCAAACTACTGTTTGGCGGGTTCTCCATGACCAGCAACTACACTCATACCACCTTTTAAAAGTCCAAGCCATGGGTCCAGAAGACTATCTGCCGCGTCGACGTTTTTGTCGTTGGTGGCTGCAGCAGGAGTTGAGGCAACCAAACTTTGGTCGCTACGTTTTGTTCACTGACGAGTCCTGTTTTACAAAGGACGGTTATTTTAATAGCCGTAATAGTCACATTTGGGATGAAGAAAACCCTCATGCCATGGCTGCCATGCCATAGAGACCAACATCAGTTTTCAATTAACATCTGGTGCGGCATTGTGGACGAGCATATCATCGGGCCATATTTGCTTCCGCCACGTTTGGATGGGCATGCTTATGGTCGATTCTTACAGCATGTGCTACCGGAACTATTAGAAAATGTGCCACTGAATATAAGAGCCAACATGTGGTTTCAACACGATGGCGCTCCAGCCCACTTTTCTTTACAAGTGCGGCAGTATTTGGACGACAAATTTCCAAACAGGTGGATAGGCCGAGGTGGCCCTGTGCCTTGGCCTGCGCGGCCACCCGACCTGACCCTACTGGATTATTTTCTCTGGGGCCATCTGAAAGCTTTAGTGTACGAAACTCCTGTTCCCAACCAACAAGAGCTACTGGGAAGAGTGATGGCCGCGTCCGCACATGTTCAGGACATACCGGGGGTATGCCACAGAGTTCGCCGATCATTGAACAATCGTGCACAGCTGTGTATTGAGCAAGGTGGAGGACACTTTGAGCAATTACTGTAGGTAAGCTGTTTCAAGAAACTGATCTTTTTTTTTGCTGTAGCCCAAACGGCATATTTCCGAACAGGGGTTTATAAGGCAAAATTGTTCATTTTGATGCCCTCTACAACCCCTATCATTTTGTCGCAATAATTATGGAACACCCTGTATATCCTCTCTACATTGAAATCGACATCGCAGTAGAGATTGAAGTCGCTGAATCTGCGCTCGGTGATGTTGAGTTGCCCTTGAACCTGGAAAGAATAATTGTGATTTCTTTTTAGGGACACGGCACCGTTTTCTATTGTGTAGCATGATGTTCTCTTCACACCATCTATTAGGGATCCCCTGATTGAAGGCAGGCATTTAATTTCTATCAGGCCATATCTGTCAACGGGGCCATCCGGTGAAGCTGCTAAGAAAGGATACTCCTGACTCACAAAAAGTCCACACTCTTCAACGGATGTCCCTGTTTGCTGCTCATACTTATGTCGGGCTATAGCTTCGTGTACTCTGACATACATAATCGCTGCTGTTTGCAGGCTGTCAACGTGATATAACAGGTTTTTAACTATGTTATGGCAGGGAGTAGATGCTCTCCTTTTTATTACACGACCGAAATTAGATGCCGTCAAATATTCTTTGCGTAAACTCCTCCACAAAGCATTTTCATGCTGGCCTCTTGTGGATGTTGCGAGCTCTGCAATTTTTTTGTTTGACTCTACCCGGTTGGGTAGAGTCTGCAGAAACTTGTCTTTCCTCTTCTCCATCTCTTGCTCGTTTATATCCTCGGCAGCTGCATTAGGACCGTAATGCACGTCCATACGTAGCTGGTATATCTAGGACACCCATAAGCTCTTCATATTGACTGTCACCAATCCCTGTTGAAATAATCCCCCAAACTGCAGCTGTATTGATGGATTTGTTTGTATTAGATGGTGGCTCCGATTCTATCACCATTGTTTTCTCACAGTTGTCACAATGAAAGAATAATTTGATGAGGTGTCCCATCTTCTTTTCCTCCACAAAGTCCATTCTGCCCATTGTACAGTATTTAGAGTGATTGACCACTTTGCCATACTCTAACAGTACATGTCCTAAGTTGGCTATTCTCCTACCTTCCAGCCTCTCAGAAATATTTCGGAGGTTTTCGTCGCGCGTGACTTCGAAATAATCTTCAATTTTGGCTATCATCTCTTGGGTCGCATAAAACCTCAGTATCTCCAGTCCCATTATCCACCACAGGAAGAGAAGCAAGAGGAGGACAGCGGATGGTTGGGGATGATGAAGATTCTTGATCAGCTTCGCTTCTGTAGTAATAATCTGGAAAAAAGAAAGTCTATTTATACAGGATAATTTAGGAAAATGTGGCAATATTTATAGAGCTGAATGTATACACTACATGGAAAAATAAAACACTAAGCTGCGCAATTACCAAGAGACCACGCGTTGTAATTTTGTACTCTACTGATGAGACTAAGTAGGGACAACCCATTACAGTTGTTCAAATACCGCGATGGTGAGTTAGAACTAACTACAAATACGATGCACACAATTTGGTGCGAAAACATTATGGATTCTGCCTTATATTTCTGTAGCTCCTCTACTGATTTCCTGGCGCTAACCTTGACGCCACTTTTGCTTTCTTTCCTATACCTTTACATAAGATATGCAATTTACCTGCCATTTTAATCTGTCTTTCTCCCGACGGGCTATTCAATAAAATTCCGGAAATCCCAGTTCGGATTTTATGAATTTACAGGTAGTAATTCAATAACCGTCAGCAATGAGACAGGTGAAAAAGCAGGTAGATTGCATGCTTACGTGCATATATACTCGTATAAGAGAAAAAACAAAAATCTCATTTTGATTTTATGCACTAGGCGTTACCTATCTTCCAGATTTGGACTAGAAAATGAGGACAGCAGCACCAGAAGAATCCGAAGGCTTTTCGCAGAACTGTGGAAAATATTTCCAGCATACATACTCACGATTTAAAACCAATTTGGTAATTCTCAAAATTAATTTGAATTTCTCCCAAAACAGTTGCGACCGAGGTCGCTGTTTAGTGGTTTAGCTACAAGTAAACCAAGCTTTTGGCGTTGTTACTGCAGTTCAGTTACTTTTTTGCACACTCTGTTGCTAGTCCCCGAAGGAGTTCTTAAGGAAATAGGAGAATCTTTGCCACTGAAATTTTCACAGAAGTTATTTTTGAGTGGAATGAAAAAATAAATGAACAACAATAATATCTTAAATAGCAGGAGAAGAGTTCAATACAAAATGCCTTATATTGTGTGCTTGCTACATGCCTACTTAATATTTTTCCAATTTTCATTCATTTCGGTATCATAGTTTTCATACAAAACAAATTTGTTTAATCGGAATAGCAACATTCAGACAAAACAAAACGACAAATTTCAGTTTCTAACGGGTGGCAACACGGTGAATAATTAGCATGCCGAACAAGGCACCTGTCTTATATCTAGCCACTTATCACTCGATGGAGGCGTGGTCAGCGGGAGGCGTGGTTTTGCTACGATTAATATCCAATTGCCTCGACTACTCTGAGACCGTTTGAAGTAGAAAGCTTATTTTTTTGTTGTGGCTTGTTCTATAACTTCTCTATGTTCAGTATGAACAATATCTGAAAAATTGTTTTTCTCCGATAAGGAAAAAATATTTTTGCGAAAGAAAAAACGTAATTCTCAAATGAACCTTATGCGACCTTCCTTTATCCATTTGTAATGCTATCACGAAATCTCATGTCTGTGCGACTATTTGTTCTGAAGCTATCGCGACAGAAATATTGACCAAAAAAAGTTGATATTTTGACAAAAAAACAAGAGATTATCTTAAATCAGTCATTTTTACACACACCATAAAATAATTAGACAATATGTATTAATAATGCTGCCCCAATCGCACAGTTGAAAAAGAATAAAAAACACTCCAGGGATACTTCAACGAGTGCGCAATTCCATGAGAAGGAGGGTGGAAGCAAGCATACTAAGTGAAGGGGGCCATTTTCAACAATTTTTGAAATCATTTCGTTGGTTTTAATGTTATGTTTATGTTGTCAGTTGTTGTTGTTGTTCATTACCCCTAATGTGTTTAATTTTTTCAATTAAATCAATAATTTTGCAAGTTAGATAATAGAACAGTTTTTATTTTTTTACTCAAAAATGGCGCATCTAAGGAAAACAATCCAGAAAAGATCATTTGTTTTAAATTGAACGGGGAATTCAAAAATAATTTTCGTTTGGCAAAAAATTATTGGCGTACCATTTTTTTCTCAAAAAATATCGAAGTCAAGACCCGTACGCACGCTACTGTTAAAGCTAAAAATTATTTTTGCCTTGAAAAATATCTAACTTTATTGAGCCTCAGCAACTTGCAAAACATGGAAAATTTATCATGGGTTATACCAACTGTTCAATAAATATGTTTCACTATTCATAGAAATATTTGGAACATTACTCGTATTTCTTTAGTGATAGTGCTCTAGCTCGAAAAGAAAGCCGTTATGGACCCATGTTCATATGAACATTTAGTCTTCAAAATGACCAAGGATTCGTCTACACACTTCATTAACACCCTGTATGTCAATCCAAAATGATTTAAGGAATAAGATTTAGAGTGAACTTTGCACTTTGTTCATAATAATGACTGATTCATTACTGTTCATCTGATAAGTTAATAAGAAAATTAGAAATTTTTCCAAAAATCTTGCTCACATTTCGATTCTTCACAGTAACACATGAATATAAATACTATGAATGAGAAAACAAAATTGCCAAGTTTTATGATCGAAGAGAATTCAAAGGATAAAATCTCGAATCGCGATCGGGTATGCGCTGACTTCGATCTGGTTGGCATCACGGGACAATTCAATTTCAGATTTCTTTCACGTTCCATGAGAATTGTTTGGATTTCTTCAAGCGATTTATTTAAATAGAGCTTTGTCGCGATTCCTATTTCATCGAAACTATGTTATTCAACTACTTTTGATAGCTTCATATAGACGATGAAGTTTGAACACGTAGGTATGGAATCTGTTCGGGTACTTTTGTAACTGATTTTCCTCACGGTACTTTATCATACTGTCGTAGGATTGTGCCTCGGATATACGGTAATTCTGCTAGTAACGTCAAATCTGTGATATTTATGCATCGCGATACAAACGCATTTGGACGAAGGCCATGCAGGTTGGAATATCAGATTTTTGGTATAGAACATTCTACCTGTTGATTTTCATCCAAAACAATCGACGTAAGTTTTCCATTATGAGTCCCTGAAAAATTCTTAATAGTGCGATAGCTTTCCAAACTGTGGTGGATAAGAATCTATGGGTATGAAGTTAAATATACACAACGAATAAGACTGCAAATCCGAATAAAACAGAAAAATAAAAACGTGGAAGATATAGTTTGAAAGGATTACTGAGACATCGGTAAGCATACGAAGCCAAAATAGATATGATGCTCGGTATCACATCACCACATATCGTTCAACAAATTTCTACAAATTCGGTGCACGAGTTGCTGGTGACAGAAACTTTGTGATCACAAAGTTTTACCGACTAAACAGAAGCAAATCGATAATCTCGTCTTGTTAAAAACTACCAAACTGAGTGAAATGGTAATCAACTTTGGCGACGAGCCGAAAATAGTACATTACATACCTAGGCTGAAGTAAGTCACACAGTTTTATATCCCGAGGCGCATAACACCGAGGGATATTATAAACGTGGTAAGTATTGAATTATTTCACTACTAACACTATAAACCATGCTCGATTTTATAAGATGTAAATATTTTCGCCAGTAAGTAAATCAACGATCATGACGCTTCATACTCCATTTTACATCTGGTACCCTGGTGACAAACTGGTAAATTAAAATGAATACATAGGAAGCAGATTTGACCTAGGGACTAGTTCATTTCAGTTTTAGAGAGGAGTAGGTTGTTAACGTTTGTTGGTTGTCTTTTCGTTCTGCACGCATTAAAAGTCGTTTTTCGAAACTTTAGAGAATATTGAACTACTCAGAACGAGTCATACCAAATATGTAGATACTAGTATTTTCTCAATTGCTTCCAAATAGGCTGGAAAATAAAGTTGTGTTGTCAATTTGACGTAATGAGGCTAGCACGATACCATTTTAAATGGCATTATTATTTAGCTGTGTGCTTTCTTATAGTTATGTAGGTACTCAGGGAGGAACAAAATACTTCTCAGTGGGACAATGCGGTCAATAATGATGATCTCTCCAGTCACAGATAACACCTATATCAATAGGTCCCTGCAGATATGTCTATCATAAACTAGCCAAAAGATAATAATACTACAGGTTGTTGCTGCAATCGCTAAATCTAAGTTGCCGGAGGTATGTTTCCACAACATTTGTCTAAAATTAGCCTATCATCCCAAAAGTCACTAGATCCACAAGAGTGCTCAAAACCCAACGCCTTACAACGTTATTCACCCCAGCATATACGTAAATCAACAATCATGACGCTTTATACTTCATTTTACATCTGGTAGCCTGGTGTTAAACTGGTGAATTAAAATGAATACATATAAAGCAGATTTGACGTGGGTAGGTAACTAGTCCATTTCAGTTTCAGAGAGGAGTAGGTTGTTAACGTTTGTTGGTTGTGTTTTCGTTCTGCACGCATTAAAAGTCGTTTTTCGAAACTAGAGAATATTGAACTACTCAGAACGAGCCATACCAAATACTAGTATTTTCTCAATTGCTTCCAAATAGGCTGGAAAATAAAGTTGTGTTGTCAATTTGACGTAATGAGGCTAGCACGATACCATTTCAAATGGCATTATTATTTAGCTGTGTGCTTTCTTATAGTTATGTAGGTACTCAGGGAGGAACAAAATACTTCTCAGTGGGACAATGCGGTCAATAATGATGATCTCTCCAGTCACAGATAACACCTATATCAATAGGTCCCTGCAGATATGTCTATCATAAACTAGCCAAAAGATAATAATACTGCAGGTTGTTGCTGCAATCGCTAAATCTAAGTTGCCGGAGGTATGTTTCCACAACATTCGTCTAAAATTAGCTATCATCCCAAAAGTCACTAGATCCACAAAAGTGCTCAAAACTCAACGCCTTACACCGTTAATTTATCTGCAAAGCGTCTCTCTTTTTCCTTTTATTCGACAAACAAGCATTCGCAGGATACGTCGCCGCTTCCATCCCAAAAAACGAAAGCTCTCTGTCAAAATATAAAAATCGAACACAAGCCTCGGAGCGAGAGCATCCGCCATTTCTGCGCGGCGGCACCCTTATTGGCGTTGCCACAGCAACGCACCCCTAGCGCGGCCAACCCGCATCCCCCGAGCTTTGACGGGGCACTCCCATTGGCTGCTGAGACTCGTACACACAGCTTTAGAGATTAGCCTCGGCTGGGACGGAAGTTGCGAGCTTTGAAAGCCCGTCGTCTGCGTGTCGGAGAGAGAAGGAACATGAGACGGCCATATCCAGATAACAGAACAAGGCTATCACAATTTAATATGGTTATATTCACTTGCTGTTTGGCTTAGACATAAGCTAGTCATATTTAGATACAAGTTAACTGTACTCTGAAATATAATTAAATCAGTCACAGATATTAACAATATCAGAGCCAGTCGATTGTTTTTGATTGAGTTGCTGCCAAGGTGTTGAGTGAGTGAAAATGGTGACCGTGGAGGATTTTAGTTCGAGTGGTCGTTGACAGCGAGGTGAGTTCGTTCACTTTACTCATCTTTGACCATCCCTAACAATGATATGTGATCAAATACAAGGTTTGAGGTCTTATGGGTTCAGATATTTCGTGGAATCTTTATTCGTTTTATCACTACTTGTTGTTATTAGTATGTCGAAGTAGCTCCGACCGTTAAGCACCAGAGTGGGAATCTTTCAGAACCAATGCTATGAGTAAAAAGCTTGAAGTTTAAAACTTTCAGATTAACACTGATTATCAAAGACCGGAGCGTGAAGCCTTCAAAATTGCATATTACATATTACGTGAAGCTTAATTCCTTTTACGTGTGCACCCCCGCATGAATTTGGAGGAAGGCTATGTGGTAAAAATTATGAATCATTTGGTTCGTAATTTAAGGCCTATAGGCCTGTATAATACTACTAGGTACTTTACCGTTTTGGTGGTAAGGAGGTTGAAAGGCTTAGACGCTTAAATACCCCAAACCCTTATACGTTTTGCTACTGCATGTCACTACTTGAGCAGCTTTGGACATTAAAGACCAAGGCGCAAAGCTCTCAGGAGTATGCAAACGATCAGCTTGAAACGTCGTTTTGCTGTTATAGACGTGGTTGAGCAAAATAACAGCATTAACACGTTACAATCCTGAAACCACTACCTATAGACTCATTTTTTGTGGAACATGCACACTATAGGTGTTCATTTGTATATGCTCATGATCTTTGTTGAGTGGCTCCATCTGTAGTTTATAATATGCTGCCTGTAGTAGTTCTGTATACGTTCTTCCGTCATTTCAGCGGAAGCTTTGTACATATTTATAATATTCCTTTTGGGAGTTTTACGATTTACGATCTGTTAGTTCATTTATCAGAGCTACTCAAAGCCACTAACAGACTGTCAGAGTGACAAAAATAATAAGGATTTAGTACTTGCTTCATGGATCTTGTAAAACATGTAGTAGTTATTAGTAATGCAGCGAGTACTCGCTTTCTACCCGGTACTCGGCATATTCGACCAATTTTACCGAGTACTCGGTCTCAATGCAAGATACACACACACACATGCTTTTCCCAAAACATCTTTACATGTAATTGATGAATAGCCAAAGGTTACAGCATTTCTTTGTCATTATCAAATGCCTGATTTGGATGACTTTTAGTAAATGTTTGCCGACTTCTCTAGTAAGCCAATGTATTGACCGTATTTACGAAAATTACTTTTTATATACAAGGTACTCCATGTTTTTTAATGAAACTTACGGTAAGACCATGGAGCAGCTACTATAGCTAGTTAAAGTGAAGCACAATTGCCTTTTTGCAGCTTTTATTTCATCTTTTATCATTCATAAGAACTCACAAAAACAACAAAATCCATAAAACGAAATAAAATGCAGCAAATGTCAAAATAACCAGTGTCCCACATTTCTGCGAAGAAAATCTTTATTTATACATAGTGATAATTTAGATTAAGTTCTTTCCAAATCTGAATTGGTCACGCCTCGAAATCCAGCAGTTTTGATTTGTGTCTCATTTGGAACGTCCCCTCAAAACCAGCTGAAAAACCTTTTAGGTTTGGTTTCAAAGATGTATGTTTAAAATGTCGTTTTCGAATATCTTACTAATGAACTCTCTTGTAACAGGAAGGATTGGACAATATATTAAAAAAATGTTACATAAATATAATGTCAAAATTTGGTATTTAACTTCATATTGAAGCTGCTGAATTCCGCAGTGAACATCATATATGGAGCTGTTGCAAGACTTTTAAGTACATTAACATGCAACGGTTTATTCACAAAAAGTTGTCTAAGCTGTACAACCCTCTTTTTCTGTGATGCGTTAACTTCTTGGGAAGGTATACAAATCAAAAAGAAAATAGAGGCAACGCAAATATAATTTTAATATCCCTAACAGCAGTTGAAATAACATAGCGCAAGTAAGTCCACCTCGGCCGACTACTTGGTACTCGGTATTAGAATCCTACCGAGTACTCGGTACTCGGCGTTTTGGTAAAAGTAGTACTTAGTGTTTCCTTAGTAGTTATATCCAACATTTAGTTAATGAATCTGTGGTTATGATATCTATATTTAAAATATGATAGATCCGATCCAACCGAATATTGGCTTCAGTTTCGGTTTCGGATAGTTTCGGTCCGAATTCCAAACTTCGATAGTTCCAAGTAACTTTATTGGGTTGACATCCTCCAAAAGCAAAGGCAAATGATCAAAAAATTCAAGTATCCTGTATCTGTTAATCCGTTGTCGAAAAAGAAAGGCCCGATAACTTGTCTACCAATAACTCCTCCCCAAACATTTAAGCTCCATCTCCATTTGTTTTGAGAATCTATTTGCCTAACCCAGTAAGGGTTTTCCGTCGCATAATAGTACATGTTATGCCTGTTGGCAACACCTATGTTGTTAAAAGTTGCCTCATCGCTAAAAAGAACCTTATCCAGGAAAGTAGTGTCTTCACTCACTTTATTTAGCATTAATTATTCTACTTACCTCCATTCGAGCTGCGAAATCCTGAGGACAAGGCCTTGATGCAAGCATAGGTGATATAGATAGTACCTATGCTTGTAAATAATCCTTTGGACAGAACTTCTACATATATCAGTTTCTGCTCCAATTTGATGTGCACTTAAATGGGGATTTTCCTGTACATTAATAGAACCTCCAACTGATTCGCCTTATTGGATTATTTATACGTTTTTACTATATTCCACTACTCCACTTGGTTCAAAACGTTCTCGTAGTGTGGAAAATGTGTCCGGCCTTGTCGCATATTAGGGTACCATTGCTTATAAATGCGAGGTCTTAGGAAACTATTTCTTTGGGCTTTGCCCAAAACGAACACCATATTCACCATTTCTTCTTTAGAAAAATTCATTTTCAAATACGTTTTTATTATAATGCTCGCAAAGCTAATTTTGACAGTTTGTAACTAATCAACAATTTATTTGTTTCCAAGGATGATGCGATATTTTAGGGAATTAAGCCGTTCCATAAAATACGTGCTAATAACCGAAAAAATAGCCGTAAAAACCCTTATGTGTCTAGTATCAAAAAGATCTTATGAAAAAAATGAATCCAAACTCGCACAAATATACAGGGTGATGTATTTGAAATTTTTGAGAAAAACTTGAATCTACGTTGTCGACCACCCCTTATGAGCAAACAAAAATTCGAAAAAATAACAAATAAGATGAAAGCTGAGGTGTGTAATTTTTTTATAGAAAATTCAGCACTCCAAATTTAAAAATGGCGGAATGAAGGGTTGCCGAACTGGACGGTTTTTCTGGTCAAAACACCTTACATCTCAGTAGCTAATTACCAAAACCCCATAGTATGCCATATCAATCTTCTTCTTTTGGTTCATCCAAATGTGCAATAAGAGTTGAGGTATTGTATTTAAAAAATCGCAACTTTGATACGTAGGTCAAAATTTTGACACCCTGTATAATTGCCAATATTTTAGAAATCTGCCCTCAAATGTCATTTATAACATACCATAAATGGATTTTCCCAAAATGTATTTGTTTATGAGTAATATTCCGTCCACACATGGATGGGCCACCCTGTATATACGAGTATATATATATATATATGTGTGTGTGTGTGTGTGTGTGAGTGTGTGTGAGTGGGTGTGTTTGAATGTGTCTTCTGTGGTAAGCGTCATTCTGGAAAAATCAGAATATTTATGTTTTTTCTATTCATATTGAATGAAGCGCTTTAAGATTTATACTTATCATGGCGCGATACACACTGATAATCACGATTCGTAAAACCGATTTCATGGAATATGAAACTGAAATTTCTTGTAGCAAATATACTGTATAAACTAGAGTTCATGATAGGCAATTTCAGAAAACTAGGTTACACAAAACTAGAAGAATCGTTTTCTACAATTTCGAATCATATTCAATAATAATAGGTTGAAGGATTTACATTTAGATCTAAGCATTTTTCATAGCCATCTGATAGAAAAAGGTAACAAATGGATGGCCACTGCATTTTCCGCACAATCCTGTGATCAGTTGATAAAAGATTATAAAGGGCATGAATTAGGTCCTTTTAAGAAAGAACATGTATAACAAAGGACATCGGTAGAATCACAGTCAAACACAATACAAGATAAAGCCATGCCACCCCTCTGAGAATCTGACTGCCTCCTAGAATTTGCAGTTTTGTGTACAATATTTAAGATTTTTAATGCGTGATTCCTCATAAGTATCAGCTGTCCTCTCTTATTTTTTTCAGGGCTGATAGATAATCATAATATAAATATAGTTTCATATTGCCAATGTCTAATTACCTCCCCTGTAAAAATGTCGTTATGAGGCGGGAGCCATCAAGCCCGCGAGTTGGTAGCCGACGGGACCCGGACAAAGCCTCTTCCGTGACACGATATTTTCTTTTCTCTTTAGTTTTAAGCCTTATAAAGGGAAAAGCAGGAGAAATATTTGCCTTACATATATGTAATTGGTGCTTGGAATGACCGGGGCTAGAAGCATATAAATATGCTACCGCTAAAAAATTAAGATACACCCTCTGCCACTCCTTACAATTTCCTCCCCCTAATATTTTAACCCTCATTTTTTTTAAATTAACAGCTACATCTGAAACATCGAAAAATGGAGCTTTTGCGATAAAACATATGAAAAGACTTTTTGAAGGGAATTTAGTCGAGTTCCTCCTATAGTAATTTATTTTTGCACTTTGCATCATAATTTAATTCGACAAAGCTCACTTTCTCTCGCTATTATCAATTTTTCTTCTGTATTCAAAGCTAACCACAAATTGTTCTTATTGATCGACCAGCCAAAGATTGCTAGGGACGAAAGGGGGAAATGCGATGAAAAAACCTTACCATTAGACGATTTTATATGGAGTCATAGGCGGAGATCGGAGAGACTTGAATTATTAATTGAATTTATATTTTATTACAACTGGTAGTATTAATATTTTTTTGCGATTCATAATGACGTGATACCAAACATACATTATAAGAAATAAATATACACAAACACTGAATATTGAGAACAAAATAAATATATTTTTTAGGCAACAAGTAATATTCCTATGTACGCATTATGATTGAACAGCAAAACAAATTATGCATTCTTCTAAAATAGAATACAACAAGTCAAAAATATCTGACTGAATAGAAAAATATAGGAAAACAAAAAGTAATTTCTTGATGAAATAACCCATAAACAACACATAGAATTAGACTTTCTACTGAGATACTAAAAGCCACAAACCAATAGTATAATAAATGAATATCTAAAAATTCTAAAAGGTAGCCAATCTAGTATAGTTTCAATCCTGATTAGAGTCATGATCACTGTCTGAGGAACTGTCATTGCTATCACTTTCACCTCCTATGTTGATTATTATTTCTTCCTGTATTTCTTGAATGAGACTGTCTTTTTCCCAATATTCATCTTCAATTTTTATAACATGTCCAATAACCTTTTGCCAGTCACTGGCACTTACTGAAGCGATGGCCTTATTAGAAATTTCATCTAGTTTTTTTATAGTAAATTCGCCGCTTGTATTATGGCTTCTAATGAAAAATTTTACTTGTGCCCAAATCATCTCTATGGGATTAAACTGACACATATAGGGTGGCGTTCGAAGTGGGGTGTGTCCGAAACTTCTTATTAAATTATCTATCTTATAATTTTTCTCATCAGATGGTGGCCTATGTAGACAAGCTATTTCATAAAGCTCCATTTTTTTAGCATTAGGATCATGCTCTATACCTTTTTTGCTCAACCACGTGATGATGTCTCTTTTTAGAGAAGATCTAGTTGGAGGCTTGTCTTCCAAAGCTGAATGGTAAGGTGCATTATCCATTATTATAATACTATTAGGAGGAATGTTAGGAAATAGTTTTTCAGTAAGCCACTTCGTGAAATTTTCTTGGTTCATTTGACCGTGATAATCACCAGTGGCACAGCCAGCCTTGAAAATGAGACAGGCTCCAGGAACAAAACCATCTTGCGAACCCGCATGAACAATTATAAGTCGTCCTGGAAATGAATAAATAGCCTCATTTTAGTGTTATTTTAAGTTTGCCAACACCTTTTTGAATCACTATGTATAAAAAACATATTTTTGAGAAAAAAATACTTGCAAGGGATTATGTATTCAATTAGACAAATTAAATGAGCACTTATTAAGAATATTCCAAAATTGAGAAAAATGTATAATAAGCAAAATCGAGGTGAAAGAAACTTTATTACCTGTAGAACTTATATTGCTCAGGACACCCATAATTTCTTCGCTTTGCCAGCATTTCTTGAAAGTGAGGTCATTATCAACCCAAGTTTCGTCCAAATAAATAATATGCCTTCCTTCTTCCCGGAACTTTTTAATAGACCTAAGATACTTGTATCGCCAATGTAAAATACTGGGTCTTTCCATTAGTAATTTCCTTTTGTTGTGGCATTTACGCCAGTAAAATCCTTTTGCTTTTAAAAGCAGCCTCAACGATTCTTTACCAAATGGAAATTCCATTTCTTCCTTCAGTTTGATTAGAAGTTTACTACAAGTAGGTACCACTTTAAAATCACAGTAAAATTTTTCTATCATTCTCCGAATAATGGAAAAATCGACTCCATCAATTTTTTGGATCACAGAAGGGCGTGATCTCTTTTTTCCGGGAGAAGCTAAAGGCTGTGTGGAGGTTGCATTTTGCCTGTCTTTATCTTCTTTTCTAATTTTACTTATAGTTCGTTCACTAACACCCGTATAATATGCCGCCCTTGCATTTCTAGCTACCAGTGGATAAACGAAAGTATTGTTAGCCGCTTCTGCATCGCAAGCACGTATCACGTTTGCTATTATTTCCCTTGCCTGGCTGTGAATAACTTTCCCATGCTTGAATTCCATTATCACCACTAAACAGTAAATTATATTTTCAAAGTATTTGCCAACTGCCTACGCCTATGGGAGTAGGTTTATAAATGACCGTGCCATCGGCACGTTATTCTAGTTTCAGATAAGATAAGAGTTTTGGACCAATCAGCGACCGGATGTTTACCTGCGGCCTGGGTTTTCCAGCTACATTGCCAAATTCAGCGGAACAATTCTATATCTTAAATATGTTAATATGTATGGACCGCATTTTATGTAGAACATCTGACAACTTCGCAATTTTTTGTCCGCATTCTTTCGGCTTGCAATCTTTCGCTGGTCCAACATTATTTGTTATCTGTGAATTACCGGAACCCATCGAGTAATCAGAAAAATACTTCCATATAATAAATTCTCAACTTGGACAGGATGACTGACCTGACAAGGTTCGGGGCTTTTATAAGATGAAAAATGGACATGCATCAGAAAATGCTAGAAATTTTAAAAAACAGAACTCACAGATTTCATGTGCATGCATTTTCGTCCAGTTGAGTAACTGTTTCATCTACATTGTTTAGTAAGAATCATATAAAGGATCGTAATCTAAGACTGAACTATTTTTTACAGCTCTCTCGTCAAGACAGAAGCAAGTGGCGCGTGCCGTGAGCTCATAGTGTTATTACCAACATCATATAAAGTCGTACAAAATAAAACAGCAATAAAACAAAAGCACTCATTCTTAACAGCAAATCAACCGGTACCATGACAATATAGTTTCCGAAGATATAAAAAATACTATCAAATCAAATTACCTGGAATAAATAAAAATCTACAATAAACTGCAGTAAAGATATTCGTGGGTTGATTACGCCATAAAAGGTTCTAGAGCCGAGCTTTATTATTTGAAGTCTCACAAAAAAGAAGACTTTAAAACACTTGATCAAGAAGAAGCTTGGCCTGTGACTGAAATATTGTTCTTTGGCAAGCTGACCGATCGAAGAGTACATGTGTTAAACGAATACATATCAAGTCATATCAACCTCTAAGTGAACAGTGCGTGAGAGCATAAAATCATCAAATTTAAGACCACTTGATCTAGAATCTAGAGACTCTTCCACATTTCCACTCTAACGAGCTGTCTAGTCACTAGTGATACTAAATAATCAAAACTTGTACTTGTCAGTGATGGACATGGATTGGTGCTAGATTTTTTAAATGAAATTTCAAAAAGACTAGACTGTAGAGAGAACCGGCTTGAATTCTGAGCTTACGAGATTGGATAATTAGACATTTTTAACCGCTGATATACCATTAACAGCAGTTTGATCTGATTTGGTCTGATTATCTATGCAAAAACAAAAGTAACTCCCACCTATCGCATTTACTTAAAAGGTGACAACTACTGAACTACTACGATGAACATTAACTGAACGTTGTTAAGCGTGATCGGGTGAAAAAGTGACAGTTAAGCCGAGTGACTTTTCCGCAAGCAAAATTGATGCCCAGTTGTTCCTCGGTGATCTGAACAGCCTCAAGTTGGATTTCAAGGGCGTCTCGTCGTGCTTGGGGGCTCTGGGATCGTCCCCTGCCCCCTCGGCGGTACCTACCTCTTCCGCGGAAGATCTTCAGCACCAACAATTCAACATATTTCCGGCGATCTTCAGCAGACAGTTGAACTTCAACGCGTGTCCGCAGTCCAAAGCCATGATGGACGAACTGCGACCGAATTTGGTGGGAGTTAGCAACCTGCTTGGAGTTGGGGGGCTCTTGGAGGACCACCATGGGCACCTGGGAGGTAATGGAGTGGATAAGAGCAATGCGAGGAAGTGCAATAATGCCAGTGGGTCTTCAGCTGAGGATTTCAGTGCAATCTACGGGGGACTGCAGCATGGGCACGATCATCACGGACACACGCCTGCACATACGCCTCCGTCGAATAGAACCATCACCGATCACACAGGTAAGCTAAGTAGCTCTTAGTGAATATTCTGAAAATATTTTTTGGTGATTCGCGTTCTACATTCTGAATCATTAAGCTAGATTAATAGCCGTCACAATTCGTTGCTCTAATGCAGAAGAGGTTTTTGTTTTACATACGTCAAAAATGATGTTTCATTCTCAAACATTCGAGAATTTTGCTTGGTGAGGGAAAATCATGGATAGAGCATACTTTGTTGTTCCAGAAGTCCAGTTAAGGCCAACATATGTATGCAGAACCAAAGAGTACAAAGTTATCAGTAGAAGGCACTCTTCTGAAGATGACTTCATTTTTCTAAGAACTCGGATCTATTTTTTAGGTTCTAGGCTTAAAGACCCCCTATCTTTTTTATTGCTTTATACAGGGTAGTGCTGTCGTACTTTAGCGCACGTCCGGAATTGGTTGCCACAAAACTATTGGTAAGGGCATCGTTTTATCTGTATTTATACAGAGTAATTCCTGTCATTATTGTTTTTATGGTATGGACAATGGATGACAAATGTACTTTGCTTAAAAAAATTGCAAGTTGAAAAATAGTTTTTAGCCTCTACCAGACTGAGTGGCGATGGTAAATCTTTCTTACTGTGTTCTTTGTCATTACGTAAGCTCAGTAACCACTGTGACGATTTTGTCAAAACTTGGAATATACTGTACGGAAACAAATTTGAAAATGGATGTGAGAGCGCTGAGTTAAGTGTAGTAGTAAATCCTCTTTGCATAATATAAGGTTTATCGGAAAAGACAGCAAAAAGAAGCGTCTGTTAGCAGAATCGACCACTGCCAATTATTTTCACCTTCGCAGTGGTCGATTCTGGTAACAGATGGCACTTTGTTCTGTCTTATTTCGATCTATAGAGTCAATGTACTCAATTTAGGATTAGCCTTATTTGCCCTAGTAGTGACCATATCCCGGTTGACATCTTTGAATTGAAAATTAATGCAGACTTGTGTATAAAGTGGATGAAAATGATCAGCAACTGTACATAAGAGTGAGTTAAGCTGATGTGACTTCAGTTTTCAGTAGTTTTCCTACGTTGTCAACACAAACCATATGAACCAAGTTCTTTGTGAATAGTTGTATATCTTCCAATTCCGTAGCATATTCAAGAATCACCGAGGCAGTATCAAGCCTCCAAATTGATCGTGGGTTATTTTGGAAATTAGACATAACACTACAGCTGCTGTATAAAAAAAACGGATTCCAAATATGCTGGAATAACAATATTTGCCTGAAATCGTTACCAATGCAACGAAACATCGGCACGGATATTGAAAGGTGACACTTTCTCGGTTTTTTGACATTTCGTAGGTTTTTCCACAAGATGTTTACTTAGCACAAGTTATTGTACAATTGTTGTGAACTTCTTTTGTAGCTGTACGTGTTGGTTAAACGTCAGCGAACAGCTATCATAGCGAGCAAACGTGGAATGAACTATTTGCACACTAAAAACTACCTAGTCTGCAAGATGACATTTTGTCGCTTTTCTTGTGACGTTTTTTAGGTTTTTTACATAATACTCCTGCGATCACCATTTCCTTGGTAATTTTGCATCCAAGCACACAGCACCAACTTGTCATTATGAATCGCCCTGTCCACATCCAACAGCCACGCAACCCAGTTCCGACGGGATATGCCGGCTATGGACTACCTGGATAGTTATAGTACAGAAAGTATATTCGCCTCATCTTAGAAAAATATTATGTTTGTTTTTTCATATAATCTCATTAAAACGACCGCTTCTAATGAATCTGACAGACCTAAAATTGTGTCAAAAAGCCAAATCAATTCTTTTCATTAAGATTGTACAAAAAACAATCTAAATATTTTTCCGAGCCGATGCAAAGATAATTCCTGGACTATTACCGTGGGTAATAAATGGGTGATGGCATCCAAATGGCCGGTAGCATTTCAGCCACCAGAGGTATCATTCAAGCCATCGCGGCAGAATCTTCTTGGCGACGCAACTATCAATCTTATACCTACCTATCATTTTAAGTAAAAAGCTCTGACAAGATGTAACGCAGATCGAGCTTATTTCGCTTCATGAGTTTTACAGAATTTTCCACAGCTAACCCAACTTACATTTTTCTACATTAGATGAGCGAGCAAAATTTCGTGTGCGGAATCTCCAAAAACTGTGTTTGCATAATCCTGCAATTGAAGCGAATTATGAGACTTAACCGCGTTTACGAGTTGCCCCAATAGCTGCGATCGAGGCAATGTATGTTGATTACAAGCATCTACATAACGGTATCACGAGTGCTGAGGTGTTTTCAATGATCATTGAAGGAGCTACATCTGCTCCACTACATCGTGCTTTGTTGCTTTCGGTTCAGTAAGAAGTACTGTGCTGGTCTCTGCCCGGCACGTTTTTTTGACATTATGTAGGTTTTTCTTTTTCTTTTAACTTAGCACTTAGTTGTACGTGTTGCCTAAACGTCATGAATCTTGTTATCAATCTTTGGCTCTCATGTGATGTAAAATCTGCTTCTGAGATGACGTTACTGTAGGTCTAAGCTGTAAGTTATATATGTTGGTGATAATTACATTGAATTCTTGTCTCAAATACACTTAATTGAGATTCAAAGCTAGAAATTAGTTCCGCATCCACTTTTTCTTATCCATTCTGGAAATTACATTTACAAATTTGCTGAATTTCAAAAATAAGAGATATATAAAATAATTATATTCACTGTAAACTGTCGAATTACGAGAGATGTCTTTTGTTTTGCATATAGAAACATAGTAGGCCGCGCGGATCGAACGTCAGTACTGAATCTTAACCTCACTCTTTAGTAAACTTAAATTCAAAGTTTCACAACAATACGTGCAGTGTTCTCACTACAGTGAATTTTTAAGTGTCACCAGGTCATTAGAAAAATGGAACTCGACCGAGAACATTTTCGCGCCATAATTTATTACAACTTTCAGAGACAATTATCGCAACAAGAATGCCTTGCTGAGTTACTGTCTGTTTTCGTCAACGAAGCGCCACATCCGTCGCCAATTTCCCGTTGGTATGGAGAATTCAAGCGTGGACGGGTAAGTCTTATCGACGATCCCAGGGTGAGTGCACCAAAAACGGCAGTCACCCAGGAAAACGTCGATGCTGTGCGCAAACTCATCATTGAAGATACACATGTGACATATCGCGAGATTGAGGCGTCCTTGAAGATCTCAAAGACCTCAATTAAAAAAATTTTACATGAAGAATTAAGAGTAAGAAAATTAGTTTCTCGTTGGATACCCCACCTGTTGACTGAAGAGCAGAAAGCAGCTAGGGTTAATTGGTGTCAAAAAACGCTTGACCGTTTCAATTCCGGAAACTCAAGAAATGTGTACAGCATTGTTAGTGGTGATGAATCGTGGATTTACTGTTATGAACCAGAAAATAAACGACAGTCGGCTGTTTGGGTGTTCCAAGTCGAAGAAAAGCCAACAAAAGTCATCCGTTCTCGAAGTGTTTCAAAAAAGATGGTCGCGACATTTGTGTCAAAAGCGGGTCATATTGCAACAAGAAAACGTGGAATTATTGGACCATCCTCCATATAGTCCCGATCTAAGTCCTATCGATTTCTTTACTTCCCCGAAAATTAAAAACAGACTGCGTGGTCAAAGGATCCCGTCACCAGAAGAAGCAGTTGACGCATTCAAAAATGCCGTTTTGGATCTGCCAGCAAACGAGTAGAATAAGAGCTTGGAAAATTGGTTCGAGCGCATGCGGATGTGTATTAATCTTCGTGGAGAATACTTCGAAAAACAATAAAGTCATTTAAAACTACCTACCGTGTTGTTTTCTTTCCATATGCAAAACCTAAAAGACATCCCTCGTAATTTATAACTTTGAACATAACCTCTCTTCAGAAAGCACAACATAAAAATAACCCGTCGGATACAGCTAATAGATATACTTCATATATACATACATACTACACATGCAGACCCATACACATAAGCATCAACATGCGATCTTGCTATTTAACCAACTTTCTTCTCAGAGATAAAAACTACCGACATGGATCACTCGGCCTCACAATACATAAGCAACCAATAATGCGTGTAGTGTATTTGAGTGATTCCTCCATAGATGGTCGTTCACAAGGATCCTAGTGAGCAAACGTGCACTCTAAAAACTAACTAGTTTGCAAGATGACATCTTACAGGTTTTTATGACGTTTTATAGGGTCAAGTATATTCATTTATTATACTCAAATAGCCACAAAAGCAAAGCTCAGATACTGGAGTGCCACAACTTGCTTATAAAATTTGAAAAAAATTATGTTGATATGTGTTTTAAAGTGGCAAAGATCTGAGAAGCGTCTTCTCCATACACTACGAGCTGTCGCGATCATACCTGTCAATTCTCCATCTATCATAGCTGGCAGAGCAGGGATAAGAAGAATACTGACTACTCATTTTTTCTTGGCCTCATTAAATATGCTCAGCTTCTTTCTATCATCTACTGGCTGCCGCAATTTATCGAATGGCTTCTGATGCAGTGATCAGTTCAGCAATTCGATTACAAAGGACTATTTCGTTACAAATGTAAAGCTATCTCTTCACACTATCCTAAATGGTTACTACTAGATGGCAGTGTTGTCACTACGGGGTCGCCAAAAGTTGCTAGACTTGACCTCCCCAGCACTACTACTAACTAATACCGGACCCGTTAGATATTATCGAGCATGGTTGAATTAAGCATTAATTTATATATGCCAGCATTTTAACCATATATTCGAATTCAAATAAAATTCATACCCTTTTAAACTGCAATGTCCATATCTCTAAATGAAATAATCATAGTTTCCATTAGACGTTGAATAAATGAACGGCCGTTATATGAGCTGGTAATTTTAGGTACACGCGTACAGTTAACCTTTTCAAGTGTCACACCATGGCCTTATCCGATATGTCCTCATCTTCCAGTTTTTCACTTCTAATTCCAGTTTTAATTTAATTATTTATTTTGATAACCATCGCA